CTGAAATCTAGATCCTCCCCAGTGTGAGCTGGCGGCTTAATACTGGCTCAGACATCATTACTCTCCACTTTTCCAGAATCTGTGCAAACCGTGCAGTGCTATTCATATAGTAATTATTGATCTGCCTACAAGGGAATCACAGGCATGCTCAGATAGATTCGCTGGTCCAGTTTCCATACAGAATTGTGTTCTGTATCTGTCCATGAAATACATGATATTTGGAGATAATCCCCTTTTCTGAGTCTTGTGGCTAGATACTGTTGCTAGGAATTTACAGATGTCAAATCGACTCCTAGAATTGCTACTCTTGGACCAGTGTCATCGTGCTATTTTAGATTGAAGAAACTGAGGCTCGGACTTAGATGATGTAGAGTTTCATGAAACTATGAGAGCTGTGATAGAAGTTTAATTCTAGTTGACTAAATGCTCTTCTTGCCATCCTACTCTCAGGGGTCACAACTTTAGCACCATGAAAATAATTTCATGTCCTTTTTAAACAAATATGGCTGTACAACTGCTGTGTCGTCCCATATCTTTAGAGGTAGGAACATGCCTGAAATATCTCTACCCTACTACCCATCTGGCCTTAGATCCAGTGTCACATAGGGAAGCTGGTGTCAATCCTCTCTTGTGTGTCACTTTTCTCATCTACAGAATAAAGTGAATAATGTTCAGCAGGTGGTCAGACATTAGTAGGCCTGAGGATCCAGGGGGCAGTCCCAAGTAATCTTTATCAGTTATGTTTAAGTGAAAAAAATCAAAGACTTCTATGTGTAATATTTTCACAATCATTTATTGGGTCTCACACACCAAGACACAGGGCCTCTGCTTTCAGAACTAGGCAAGCAGATGTCCTGGTTGCCATATGAGGAAAGAATATAGTCTTTAAAGACCTTCCTGCCTTGGGCTGGGACCTGGCTTAAATTAAGAAATTATCTCACCTTTTGTAAGTTTATTACAAAATTAAGGCTTCTGAGGTAGCTGACCATCTAAAAAGGAGAGCAGGAAGTTTTGTTCAATCAAAAGTCACTTCGAAGTGAAATGTTGATATGCGTCATAATCATTACAGATCCTTGAACCCCAGGAATAATTCTTGTGTATACAAAACAATATCCAGGCTTCCACTATGTGTTAGTTACTTTTCTTTCATTGCTGAGACAAAATACCCCACACCCAAACTTAAAGGGAAAGGTTTATTTAGGTTGCAGTTTGTAGAGGTTTCGGTCCATAATCGGCTAGCTCCAAGGCAGAGTGGCATGGCAGAGGGGTGTCACAGAGGAGAAACAGCTCGTGATGCCCACTCATAGCAAAAGCAACAAGTGACCTTAGCAGAGTCTTCCTGCCCCTTTTATTTTATTCAGACTATTGGGGATCAGGGTGGCGCAAAACCAGTCACTTAAGGGTAGTGGTTTAGTAACCACACGTACAGCAGCACACAGACCAGACGCGGCCACCTATGAAAAAGAAAGCCTCCCTCATCTCCTTGAGGCTTTGGGGGGGACATCTAAACATCTAAACACAAGCCATGTCACACTAGGTTCAGATGATGTCCTCACACTGCCTGGCTTCTTTCTGGAAGGCATCACTCCCTCCCTATCTACTTTACAATAAATTCCCCTGTACGTCTGGACTGACACCTATGAGTTTTCACCCAATGCTTTCACCTAGGACACAAAAGGACTGAGAAGGCTCCCAAGGCCCAGTTCCCAGTGCTGGGAAACCTCCATAACACACAGAGTTGGGGGAAAGATAAAAATATGTTAAAATATGTAATTAGGAGAATAATAAGCGATTTGTATCAGCTTTTTTCAGCTTCTCAATACTTTTATTGAACATAAGTACAAATTTTGATTTTAGATAAAATATAAGAAACTTATAGAAAGTTTCTGAAACTTATAGAAAGTAGAGTGCACTTACTTTCTAGAGGGAACTTATTCTACTATTATTATAGAAAATGTATTCGGTATCTAGTCTTCTAAAAAAATTGCCAATTTTGCCTCTCCTCTGAAGTTGTATATTGTTGCTCTATATCAGATTAGACAGTGAGAAATAAGAGACCATTTCTGTTATTATATAGTAATTGAAACATTAGAGAGAGAAAGAATATATGGGGAAAAATTTCCTCTATCAAGTTTAGAATCTAAGTCCTTTGGCTTTTATCCTTTACAGGTTTTTATTTTTTTAAATTCATTAAATTTATTGGTACATTTTAGGTATACAATATAATGACATTCATCACTGGGAATTTGTACCTTTACATGATGCATCTTGGTTCTTATTTTTTCCCCATTCCCTGCCCTCCCTTCAACCCCT